TTTTAAAAGTTAATTCCAACCAGATGCAACTTATATCTATATCTTTTTTTCTGATTTTAAAATCTGATCCATCTATCTGCATTTTTATTCATAGTTTTTTTTTGTTCACAAATTCCCAAACCCATTCTCTTATTCACTTCAAAATGGATAAATTATCCGGGTTCTCGAAATGAAAAATGAAAAATAGAAAAAATGGAAATCGACCCAAAAATTTCTCCTCATAAGTTTTTCCTCAAAAAAAAAAGAAAACTAGAGAAAGAATTTCACCATTCTCCCTCCATTTGAATTTTTTGCAAAGAGAAAAGAGATTGGAAATGGTTTTTGTGTGACAGAGAATCAACTCTCAAATATTATTTGGGGAAAAGTGAAAATCGGGAGTCGGAAATCAAGAGACAATCATCTCACAAATGAAAACATGAGGAAAATTGTTGATTTAAAAGCTAGAAAGGAAAAAAAAAGAGGCGAGCGGAGGAACCGAGGCATTCAATGAGTACTTCATCACTTTTCAGTTCTTTCAGTTTACCCGTTTTTTTAAGTATCACAATGGTTTGACAGGAAATAGAATTTGTGGCAAAAAATAGTCAAATTTAAGGCAAGAATTGATGCCAAAAATTTGGGCATAGTGACGCCGCAAACAGCGAAATCGGCTCAGTCGATCACCGTTCCTTTCCCTTCACTATCCATTGGGGACATGTGCCAGATTGCGAGCGATTACCCGGCCACACAAAGAACACCTCGCTAGTCATTTAATCTTTTCCTTTATGGATGGTACAAAAAAGATATTCAGCTGTAAATCGGCTTAGTCGATCACTTGTCCTTTCCCTTCCCTATCTATTGGGGACATGTGCCAGATTGCGAGCGATTACCCGGCCACACAAAGAACACCTCGCTAGTCATTTACTCTTTTCCTTTATAGATGATACAAAAAAGATATTCAGTTGTAAAAAAGATATTCAGCTATTTGTAGGGTTTTCAGGGTCGATGAATCGATTGGAGTTATTCATTTCATTGATTAGAATTCGGATTTAATCAAACTTTTGGGAATTTAGTTTGTAGAATGAAAGCTACCCAACCTTAGAATGAAAGCTTACCCAACCTTTTATGTCGAAAACAAGGTTTGCTTGTTTAGAGCCCGAAATTAGTGCTTGTTTATTTACGATTTTCTCGAAGCTTCATTTAGCCATCAATTTTTCAACAAAAGGAGAGTGATAACCTCTTTATTATTTGGAAAATGCCTCAAATTTTGAGTAAATTTATTTTTTTGAACATTTGAACAACATTTTGAATGTATTCTACTTGATTAAATATCTAAAATGGCCTTTGCTTTAATCAATCAATCAATCAAATTCACCAGTTCTTTAATTAAAAAAATTTCTTCTTTCAATTGTTTTCCTTAAACTTTAAACTCCTCAAACTTTAGGTTGCAATCTTTTTTTCCTTTTGAATTACTAGAGCATTTATTTCCAATTCCAATTCTTTCCAAGCAATTCATTTCTTTCTCTGATCATTGTCTAGTCGATCATCGACGGAAATCAACCTAAAAAAGTTGGTTCAATAAGTTTCAATAAGAAATTTTCCGGGCTTTCCCCTGTTCAATAATCGAATTATATCACAAGACTCAAGAGAAAAAAACTAGGAAAACTAGTAGGAAAATTTTTGAGAGAAAAGATTGTAATCTAGAGAGTGGGTGGACAATTTCTTTGATAGAGAAGATAGATCGACCCGGAAAGTGCACACATTATAAGGCTGGGGCTGAAAGAGATGGAAAGTGCATGTTTTCGAAAGCCTCAATCAAGAAAGATTTGAGATATTCATTGATTACTTGTTTGTTTTTAAATAAATTTTATGAAATTTTGATGCATAGAAGCTCTGCTAGCTTATCTTCAGATAAAGCTCTGCTAGTTTATTTTAGTTTATTTTAGTTTATTTTAGTTTATTTTAGTATAAATGTTATTCTATATCAATCTTTGTTCATTCTTTATGAAATTCTTGAAATCTTTGACAGATAGAGATGAGCTTATGAGAAGAATGAGAACTTTTCTTCAAGTACTTAGCTTTAGCTTCAAGTACTTAGCTTTAGCTTCAAGTACTTCAAGTCTTTAGCTTTAGCTTCAAGTACTTCAAGTCTTTAGCTACAGTTCTCTGTTCATTTTTCAGGATTTACTTTATCTATTCTATTTTGCATTAGATTTTGTCCACATTGAGACTTTCAATATTGTCCTATTGTATATAATATTGTCCTATTATATATAATATTGTCCTATTATATATAATATTGTCCTATTGTATATAATATTGTCCTATTGTATTTGCATTTTTATCCATTCAAGATCAAATTTTTCTTTCTATTTTGCACTAAAATCAACTTTAAATCCTTTCAGTGTAGCTCACGAATATTTAAATTCAAACATTTTTACTTAGGAGAATTTTCATTCATCTTTGTTTTGTTCTTTTAAACCTTTCAGCACCATGCCTCTGATTTTTCTCTGATTTTCCTTTTCTTACTTTTAAATAGCATCGGCTCTTTTCTCACAATGGCTTTTATCAATTTCTCTTTGACAATGGGCGTTCAAAGACTTTTCAATTTGAATCAGACATCCTTGAATTTAAATGACACCTTGTGCAGATTTGTGCGAGAATTTCGAGAGCTACGTGTGCCATTGACAAACGATGCCACTATCCGTTATTTGAATGGGGTGTGCATGGAGGAAAAGGGATTGGGAAAGAGGGTGACGACATAGAAAACGGGGCAAATACACAAACAGCTGCAGAGAATAGAAGGGCTAGACGGTGTGTCTTGGTTAGGAGATGCTGAAGGATTGAATTTGATAGATAATATCATAACAGACATTGCTGACATAACAGACATCGAATTACTGTAGAGCTGAGGTTTTTGGTGTTAAAGGTTTAGATAATTGATAATTGATAAGTAAATGATCAACTTGATAGATCAACTTGATCGCCTTTAGAGCCATGCAAATGATTGGCTTGTTGTAAGCATTTGAAAGTTTGTGTCAGCCCTAAGTCTGATAGTGTCAGCCCTAAGTCTGATAGTGTCAGTTCTAAGTCTGATAGTATCAGCCCTAAGTCAGATCCAAATAGCAAATTTCCTTGAAGCCATTTTCTCAAAGCTTGTTCTTTTCTATTTTGCGAAACTTTAGGAATCTAAAACAATACTGAAAGCTTGGAATAGTTGATTGTGAGCAGACTAACGTTCTAACGACAGACGTTTCAACGAAAGTATGAAAAGAAACAAAAAAAGACTTTCTGAACAGCCTACTACAAAGACTCAGCTTATAGATAGACTTGAAGAAAAGGGAAAAGAGATGGCGATGACACACAATGGAGAAGACGACGTGAGACTGGGAGGGGGCAAGGCAACCCCATCCCTGCAGAGACCCGGGCACCATCGTCGACCCCTCTTTCCACTATCAACCCTGTCAAAAAGCCGGCCCTAACCCTTGGCAAGCATACCGTTGGTTCAAAGTCATTCATTCCTCTTCTTCACCCACCCATCCACTGATCAGTCCGGTTCGAGGAAAAGCCACTCCTGAATGCTCAGTCACTCAAGTTTTCAAAAATTTCAAATTCCCACCTAATCTTTGCCTATCTTTTGCCTAAAAATCACGGGAGAACAGATGGGGTGAAATGTGCGGAACAAGCAAAACGCAAAACGCCCAAGGTCCCCCTTTGTTCCGCCTCTCCATCTCTTTCTCCGTCTGCCATTGCAAGGAATTTCTCTCTTTTTGTCAAATACACGTATTATTGCCAAGAAATCGTTATATTGTACGCGAGCGTGTCAATTTATTTTTGGTTTGCTTATCTTCAAAAATTTTCAACGAGACGGAGCCTAAATGTCTGAACTTTTATCACTCTAGCCGTTTTTTTTGAACTTGTCTGCTTCTAGAAAAGTTCCTTGTATAAATGAATACTTATTAGGAATTAAAGTACATTATTGAATCTGTAATTGTACATTAAAGTACACTATTGAATCTGTAATTGTACATTAAAGTTCACTATTGAATCTGTAATTGTACATTAAAGTACACTATTGAATCTGTAATTGTACATTAAAGTACATTAAAGATATTGTAAGCCGTTATTGTAATTGTAATTATTTGATTTGATTACTGTACGCCGTCAGCCTTTACTCTAATTACAGTAAGCTGACAAGGCTGAATATTTTTCGCTGAATATTCGTTTTACTGAAAGTTCAACTATTATTTGTTTTCTTGTTTAAATATTTTTCCATAGCAGCATATTTTTGAATATTTTTTCATAGCTGTATTCATTTTTTTGTCTAAATACCCCTTTTAGACTGTAATGGACAAGAGATTGCAGTAACTTTAAACTTGAAAAATTTAAGTTTAAAGCTATCTTAAACTATCTCTAAGCTTAAAGCTATCTTAAGCTATCTCTAAGCTTAAAGCTATCTTAAACTATCTTTAAGCTTAAAGCTACCTTAAACTATCTTTAAGCTTAAAGCTATCTTAAACTATCTTTAAGCTTAAAAACTCCTATCCAGCTTACCAACTTCTTATCCAAATAGATTTTTATCACCTAAACATTTACTGATTTTTTTTGAAAACCATCCAAAATTCCCAGCGCTCAGAAAACACAAATGCGGCAACAATGTCCCCTTTTCTTCGAATTTGTCTTGTTTTTTGATCTTTTTTCCCAAAAATTCACCCTTTTTAACCTCGCACCCCAAAAAAAAAGACGAAAACATCCCCCTTGCGCATACCAAAAAGCGCAAAAAGTCTCGAGTTTATTTTCTCATCGAAAACTTTGAAATATTTACCACGTCTTTCTCATTTATAAAGCTTTTTCTTGACTGAATATCTTCAATCTTGTCGTTTAATAATTTTTTTGAAAAGTTGCCCATTGCTATTTTAGCTCTTACGGTAACTCGGCTTATAAAATTAACCTTTTGTCGGGAAAATTCCTTTTCGAATCTCATTCAACTTTTTTTGCGGTGATTCGACGTTAATCTTTGTGCAATGAAATTTTTTCGGAAGCGAAAGGAAAAGACTGAGTCTCCGGAAAAGGCGCCAAACAAAAGAATCCGTACAAGCTCGCAGGTTCGGCAGTGTTTTTGCTATTTTTTTTTTAGACTTTGGTAAATAACGAGTGAATTACCTAGTTTTGTATCAATTTTTACGTTTAAACTTACTAAAGTTGGCAAATGTTTGGCAATTTTATGTTTTAAGAGCAGTTACATAGTGCAATTAAAAGCTATGTTAATTTCGGCAGACAAAATTTTTAGTATCATGCCAATTTTTTAGCTTTGATACTCCCAAATTGAGTTGATTCACTCGTTTCTATCAAATTTTTCTCGGGAAACTCATTTTTTTTTCCGCAAAAAACATTTATGATGATAATTTCTTCTTTTTTTTCAGGGACAGTCCATGATGGGAGCCAAGCAAAGCACGGATAACCAAGGATATCAAGGTCTGCCTTTTCCTCTTTTAATCACGCGTGTGAGTTCGATTCAATCCGCTGCTTCGTGGTGGCAAACTTGCATTCTGTTGATGCGGGAAAAGAGAGGAGGAAGGAAGGAGAGGAGAAGGAGGTTCTCTTCTCCTTTTTTTCTGCCACACCGACCACCACCCAGTTCTCATTTTCAAATTGATCGCGCTATTGAGATGGCAAACAGATCACCATCGAGTGTGCGCATTGCACCGATTGTCATTGAGTTTTCCGGGCTCACTGAGTCGTTTTGAAATTGGAAAAACTCCTCGTTTTCTTCTTTTCCCTCCCGCCGCAATTATTATTCTCAAAACTTTCCCGGATTTTGCTGGTAATTTGTTATGATCTTTTAGATTATTTAGTATTAAAAGTTAACTGAAAACATTTGATTGGCGTTTTGCTCTATTAAGTAAAGCAATAAAGCAATAGCAACCTATTTTCAGGCTTTAAGTGTTGTGTTTGTTCGCTATCATTTGGAACTGAAATCTATCAGTTTTACTAGTTCACTGGCTTCAAAATAATGACGAAACTTAATGTAGAATTCTATGTTCCAAAAATTTTTGTATGCACACCACTCTTTCTTAAATTTGCAGATAGATTGCGAGCTTCAATGTTATAAAAACATCAGCATTCCTTCCAATTCCTCACAAAAGTTTCCCCTTTAAAATTTCGAAAGGGTCGCTAGTTGTGGCCCGTGAGTCCCCTGTTGCACTTGCATCCATTTATTCACTTCCCGGTTCCGCGTCCGTCCATCTCTTTTCGCCTCGGCCTCTCACTTCTCTTTCCCCCGACGATGTTTGCATTCTCTCTTTTCCGGGCTGAGACTTGTCTGGCCGCCGGTGTTTCCGGCCTTTTCTAGGGGCGTGTATCCGGTTCCGCAATGTGATCTTTTGTAGAAAAACGAATCGATTCAGTTAATCATTGTAGAATTCAATTAGGAACTGAAATAAAGACGAGTCTCGGTATTTGGATTCAGTTAACATTATGTTGACATCTTACTTGATTGAGTTTAAAATGCTTAAAATCTGTACTTCTGCATCTCATAAACAAAACTTTAAATGTTTTAACGATAAAGGATTTGGGGCTAGTCATGCTTTTAAATTCATTAGCCAGTCACTGAAATTAGAGTTCAAAAGAACCACTAGTAAGATCGGTTGAGTAATGGGGGGGCTCGTTTTTGATCCTTCGGCTCAACATGGAGTGACCGTCTCGTTCAGTGTGTGCACCGTTGATTGCCTGCGCTTCTCGCTTTTTAGAGAGAGGTTCCGCGTCCTTTGCCGCCCCGTCTGCGTGCCGCGACTCTCTCGCCCTGCGGCCGTCGAAAACCGGCTCTAGCCCCCTCCCCGCGCGCTCGGTGGCCGCTCGCTTTTCTCTGGATTCCACCAACTTTCAAAAGAAAGACTTTCGTCTGACTTGCTTCTATCGGCTAGATATTTTTTTTGCTAAATTTTACATGCTTACAAGAGAAATCGATTGATTTTTTTGATGTCCACACCCGACTCTGGCCCCAACCGAAAGGATGGGCGCAGAGTTGGGAAATTGTCGATCAACAGACAGACTCGATCGCCTATTCAGAAAGCTAGGAAATCTACTACGTCTAGGAGCACTATGACATCTCCATTTTCTGAGCATTCCACTCCTGTTTCTTTATTACCATCAACATCAGTTCTCTCGAATTCCTCTATGATTAATCCGGGGATAGCTTCGTCAAGTAGTTGTTTTGTCCGGCCACAGCTCGGGGTTAAACGACGCTCAAACAATTCCAATGACGACGAGTGTAGCATTGAGATGAGACGTCGTCGTATTATGGATACCTTTGCTTTCGAAGAAATCGTAAGATTGGCTCATTCGGCTGTCACTCCAATGACCCCTCCTATTGGTCCATTGTCACCCTTAACCGCGGCACAGGCTTTTGCTCTGGAGCAAATTCATCTACGTGGTATGTTATGTCATTTCTTAAAGCTTCAAATCTTTTAACTTGCTCATGTTTGCAAAAAAATCCAAATCTCATTTATTGACCCTCGCGTAAATTCCCAAAAAGCGCGTTTTTGAGCAGAAAGTGCAGCTCGATCAAGGGCTACAGCCGCAGTAAAACCGGGGAAAAAACCGGCTCTAGTGCGAAAGGGCGCTTTTCACGAGGGGTTGAGGACCGGCTCAGACTCCCTCATGCATCTCTTTTGCGCACGCTCACCCCCTTCTTCCATCCCTCTTGTGAATTGCATCTTCCCAGCCACCTTGCCTTTATGTAGAAGAAACGATGATCAAAAAAATGATAATTTGGTGATAAAAAAATTTTTTCAACTAAATCGTATCGACGAGCGCATAGAATAAAGAAACGACTCACATTGAAACAGGAAAAAGTTGTTTTTAAACGAAATATGTATTTCAAATTTTAGTTTCGCCAGACGCTGCACCATTCGGAGCGGCAAGTGGATTTGCTTCAGCTCAGCAAGGAGCCTCGACTTCAGCAGTCGGCCAACAACGAGAGGGATCCCGGGAAGTCGTCGGTCAAATGCCTGGACCATTGCATAATGGTGCTCCACGAGCTCGCAGGTAAAGTTCTAGGTCTTTAAAAAATTTGACAAAAAAGTCTTGACAGCTAGGTAAATTCCCTAGAACCTCCTCCTGCCGTTGTTCATAACGGCAATGATTTTTTTCCTTTTATAAGGAAATTAGTAACTTTTCTCTACTCAAAGTTTCGCATCGTAAGTAATCATAATCGCCTTTTTCAATCGATTTTTTAATGGGAAAGAATAGCTGAGCAGTGAGAGGGTGGCAAAGGCCGCATACAGGGCTTTCCCAAACGGGCACTCTTGCCATAGCCTTTTCTCTGCCGAGTCTCTTTTTCTCGCCTATCCCATTTGCTCTTCTTTGTTGTCTGCATCTCTAGCGTCGTTTCTCTTTTCTCTTTTGCTCAGACGAACCTCGCCTCACTCTCACTTGTGTCTACTCGCTATCTCATTCCATTCCCCAAATCGACTCCCGGTTCGCAACTAATGCTAAATTTTTAATTGGCGAACGAAGTTTGATAATTATTTCGTTTTCAATCCTTCCTTCGCATTAATGTCTGTTCAATCGGATCCATCTTCTGTTTTGCGTAATTCTACCAATAATGTGGCGTCAAATCAATCGCGACCTATTCGGGCAGCTAGACGCCGATTGAGTTTGCAACGTAATGAAGAAGATCAAAAAGAACAAAATAATCGCGAAGGAGGAAATGATTTCCGAATTGAACAAATCGATGAGGAGATGATTTCCGATCAATCGATAATTAATCTTTTGGTTCGCGAGCGCCGCAATCTCCGAAGGCGTCCTCTACCTTGGAGAGAACAAGAAAGAGCCGAATCCCCGAAACGAGTCTCATTACCTACAAGACGATTGGCGGTTTTGGCCGACCGATCCGAATCGCCGCGGATAGAACCGGATATTGAGGCTAGACCACCCCAGGTCCGACGCTCAGATCCTTCGAGTAGTCGTCGAATTCCCAATCGGTCTCGCAATCGTCGTAATCTTAATCGTCGATCCTCTGATAATGAAGCTACTATTGATATATCTGAAGATGAAGATTCTAGACTATCACGAGTTCATCAACGAGATTATCTTCTGGCTAGATTTCAAAGGTAAAGGTTTTAACGAATTCTTTCTTTTCCTTCCCCACCCCCTTGATCTTCTATTACATCTTTGTTTTAATTCTTTGTTCATGACAGAAGAACGTTCTTTGTTCATCAATGCCTCCTATCGGTGGCATGAGGAGGGATCCTTTGTGTCTTTGTCTGCTATGGGAGACTGTCTGTGCATCATTGCTTTTTAGTGTCTCTTTTGAAGCGCTTTCGTATATTGTGCGCGATCGATAGTTGAATCTTCTCCCAGAAATATCCTTTTCGGAAAAATTTCCCTAGAAAGTGAAGTGACCTTGTACACCTATGCATCTCTTACCCTTTTGCTTCATGCGAGAGAAATCTTCTCAAATTTACCCGATGATTTTTAGGGAGGAAGAACGTTTTAAGATCTCGAAATTGGCAAGATTTGGCCTTGTGGATTTTTCCAACTGCATCCTAATTCTCACTCAGTAAAGTAAAAAAATTTCTCGGAATGAGGAGAATCTATTTAGAAGAGGCGTTTTCAGTTTACTCTTTCTCGAGTTCACCTGTTGTCGCTTTCAATTTAACTTGAGAAATCTATTTGCTGTATTGATCAATTTTCGGGAATCGTCTGAAATGTGCAAGTTCATGTCGGGGGAAAGTTTAAAGAAAAGCTCATGCACGTTTTTTCGTCTTGGGGTCCATTGTCACTTTGTAATTTACACAGCAGGAAATCGATTAAAGAAAAGGCAGACCTAGTCACACAGCGGAGAAAAGGGCTGAGCGTTCTTTTGAGATGAGTATCACGTGTTTGTTCTTTTCTCTGTTATCCGTGATCCCTTCGGTTTTTCACATCACGATAAGAAGAATAAAAATAGAAAATAGAGGAAAAATATTTTGTTGCTGCTAAATGGCAACAAATCAATAAAGCAGTTGTTTTTAAGGGAACTATGAACATTGACGATAAAAGCATGAACCTTGTTTTGCGATCACGATTAAAATCCAATATTAATTTTTTAATTTTAGAGGAGAGTTCAACGGTGTGCAAGAGCGACGATGGAACGAAGTGTCACGAGCAGTTCGATCTGGGCGATCATTGTCTCCCGCTCATCCTATCAATTCGGTAAGTTTTGGTTGAGATACATTGTGTAGCCATTGGCCTGCTTTGATAAAAACTCAATTTTTGTTAATTTAGAATTGTGGACTTGATGACATGTTGAGGCCTCCACGATTTGATGTGATCCTCTCACAGAAGCCCCCAGAGATTAGCATTCAAGAACAGCATGCTTGGAATCCTGATGACAGGTGGATATTTGGGTTATGTTAAAAGAAGAGGATGATCTTCATGCAGGCATGCAACCATTATAAATTTCATGCAATTCAGATCGTTGAACATCTTTGTGAGGGACGACGACAAATTTACGTTCCACCGCCATCCTGTTGCTCAAAGCACAGATTGTATCCGTGGAAAGGTACAGCTTTAAAGTTAATCTCTTGTATAAGCATTTTAGGCTGGTTATTCAAAAGGATTTCACGTTTGGCAACTTGAATGGCCTCAGCGTCAGCGCGGAACTCATGCTGTTGTTGGTGTCGGAACTAAGGCAGCGGCTCTTCACGCTGTTGGATACGTTAGTTCTTAATGCCATAATCAAATTAATTAATAACCAAAGTACATGCACGCCTCACTTGTTCTTTATTGTTATTGTTCTTTTACTGATGGACAAATTTTAGACGTCCTTGATTGGAACAAACGATCAAAGTTATGGCTGGGATTTGAGTAAGACAATTTTATCAAACTTTGTAAGTTTTTAATTTAGCGCGTAATGAGTGCCATCACGATTCAAAGCATTGCTCACCCTGGGCGTACCCGGTCGGACTTGGCTCAAGGCAGCGTGACGAGGAGTTCATTGTTCCCGATAAGGTTGTTCATTTCCATTTGTTTAATGGCTATATTCTTGATTTAGTTCTATTGCATTCTTGATATGGATGAGGGCTACATGGCATTTGCTAGTGATACACAATATCTGGGAGTTGCCTTCCGTAATTTGAAGGTTTGTCCCATTTTGTGGAATTGGTTTTATCAGTTTTTTTTAGGGAAAAACCCTCTACCCGATTGTTTCTGCTGTTTGGGGCCACTGTGAAATCACGATGAAGTATCTTGGCGGACTTGATCGTAAGCCTTCACTTCATAATCATCAACACCAGCACCAGCATCATAAAAATGATATGAAAGTTATGAAATCGTCCTTATCAACGAACGACGAGTCTTTCTGGCAATCAAGCACCATGGGATCTAGTCGATACCCTGCCCCACAACTTTCTATGAATCCCTGGGTCCCCGCGCCTAGCCCTTGGGTTCCTCAAACACCACAAAATGGAGTGGCTCGATCCGTTTCTTGCAATCCCTTTTTACAAGCTACAACAAACACAAATCCATTCGTTGAAGAAATATCTTTGATAGACATTAGTATAGCTGACCCGGACCATGAGCTTTTTGGTCCACCCCTCGAAAATGATTTTACTAGACTTAATTATAAATATCTTTGGCCTACAGTTTTTGATGATGAATAAGATATCAGCTGTTGCCCCCAATTTTTGCTATATTTCTTGTTTTGCGCTAAAACCTTTTCCAAACTTAAACTCGGTTGTGTTGTACGCATTTTTTGAAAGAGTGTGAGTCTTGTCAGTATGCGCTTAGCCTGCCTTTATCAAGAAAGGAACGTGTTCCCTGGTTGGTAATCGCTTTTTAAACTTGTTAAAAATGATAGTGGTGCTGGTTTGATGTTGAAACTTTAAGATCTGAAAACTCTGAATGTTAGATTTTGAAGAAGCAATCAATAAAAATTGTTTTACAAAAACGTTAGCTCTTTTAAAAGCTACCCATTTTTTTTTTGAATGATTGTAATGTACTTTTTTAGCGGTGCCACGTGAACTGATGGACATTTGCCGGCGTACGATCCGCATCGAGATGGGGAGGGAACGGTTACACCGAGTGGATGAGCTTCGTCTGCCTCAAGCTCTCAAGCGCTACCTCCACTACAAATAAGGATCATTGATTGTGGTCTTTGAAATGATTCGTCTTCCGGTTTTCAGCAATGTTGTATCGTTGATTTTGTGGCCCGGTATGTCCTTGCCTTATCTTTGTAATTCTATTTTTGGCTTCCTTTACCAGTGCACCTAGGCTATTGAAAAGTATTTTTGCTAAGGTAAAAGGAGTTATAAAGTCCTCCTCCTTACAATCATTTGCCTTTTACGGGTTCTCTGAACACAGGCCCCAATTTATTCCCCCCCTCAGTGGCCACTCACATCCAACCTCAGCACGTGAGCCCTTCTACGAGAATTTTACGTCTTTTTGTCTTGCTCCGGCTAACGCAAATTTATGAAACGTGTTTCTCAAAGAATTCAGCCTTCTTTTTACTCCCTGATCGAGGATTTGCTCACTCTTATTGAGACTTTATTTTTCTGATTGCCTACTTTTGTGTTGTGACGCCCCCACCGAGTATTTCTTTCTCCTAAATGTCTTTTCACTCCCCCATTCATCTTCCCCTTCTCCTTATACGTGTGTGTTTATTGCTGCTTATTTTTGCTACTGCCTTCATGTTAGAATATTTGGTATAGCGCGTATATGTTTCATTCAAACTTGTATTTTTGATATAATTTGCACACAAATGTAACAATTTTTCAACTTTTTGTGACTTAGCCAAGAGATTGGGCATAAATTTTTACAAAAAACCTGAAAGAAACAAATGGCACGAACGTGCCATTTGTTGATGTACAGAAACAGTTGACGCACAGAAACATAAAAAACTTCTAGTTTGATCCTTCAAACGTTTTCACTTTTTAACATAATTACAGGGAAATTGTGCGTTTTTTTCGGACAATCTCTCAGAGAGACGATGGGGAAAAAGAAAATGGTTGGGTCCAAGTTGGAATGTAATTAGTCCTTGACGAGTATGAGAGCCCGTTCCTTTAGCTTCTTCAGCCATTCTTCTTTATTATTTTTCCTTTTTCCGCGCCTATCACTTACACGCATTTAAACCTCGTAGTTTACTACATATTACGAGGCTTCAGTCTATTTTTGTTTGCTGGATAATTTGGGAATTCTAGTTTACTTGCAGTTTTTGGTCAAAAATGATCCCACTCCAGCACTTCATGTTGACCACTTCAACAATCGGATATAGAATTTCGGATGGCAACTCGGGGCTATACGCTCTTGAAATTCTAGAAAAGCTTCGGAGTTGGGAAAAACTGGTGATTTTTATGAGTTCCCTCCACTTTTGCGATTAGCGTTTAATTTTTGATCAATGGTTTTTAATGATTTCTTGATTCGAGTTTTTCTTCGGTTTTTTTTCTGATTGTGATTGTGAATTGAATCCCTTGCACAGGAAAGAGCTTTACTTTTTGTTTTTACACATACCAAGAGATTAGCTTCCTCATTTTATAGCTTAAAGCCCCTGAAAAATTTGATACTTTTGAAAGATTTCTCTTTTGAAAAAAAAAATTTGACAACTATTTAAGTTTGGTTATACTTTAGAAACGGAGTGTGCTCTTGCTATACTTTAGTTTTTATTTACAAAACTCATAGTGAGTCGAAGCTTTTTAGTTTTGATTGTGATTGTGAAACGAATCCCTTGCACAGGAAAGAACTTTACTTTTTGTTTTTACACATACCAAGAGATTAGCAAAAAAAAGAATTTCTGAAATGCAAGCTTAAAATTGCCGAGAATCACAACCACTTTCTTTTATCTTCAACTAGTGAAGCGATTCGAAAGGAAGAAGTCTAAAAAAAACTAGTAATAGACTGGTCACAGTTCCCCCGTTTACAATCTACACTGTACTATTGTACTTTTAAGAAGACACTCATTGGTAGGTGTACTTTGAGTTAAGAAAAACCGAAACATATCCCTTTTGACAAACCGAAGGATTGAGTGCCCCAGAAAGGATGTCTTTCTACATTTGTATCTATGATTTCCAATTTCCAATTTCCAATTCCAATTCCAATTCCAATTGATTTCCATGTCACTTTCTTGAGCTTTAATCACAAATTTAAAATAATAAATGTTTCATGCGACTTTTCAAAACGAAATTCAGATTCTCATCGGCTACAATATGTCTCCAAAAAACCCGTCCTTCGTTCAGTATGAGCAAAAAGAAAATGAGAAAAGAGCAAAAAGGCCATTTCTCAGAGCAAAAAGGCCATTTCTTCTCAATTTTCACATTCATAATTCGATTTTCTCTTTACTTTAGAGATTAGTTTCCCAAGAAGAACATTTTCATTATTCAGAGTATGAGTTGTTTAACGGTGAAATTTCTCGTCGCTTCATTGCTGTTGATTTGGTGCTGCGAGGCGAGGACGCTCGTTGGTTGGCACGGGGTATCATTTAAATCTAAATACACTCTCGACTCTCGATACAACGATTTTGAAATCCTAGAGCATGCCCTTGGCTTCTGCGTAGCTGCCCAGCCAAAACGAAATCAGGGCAGCTACGCAAGAGAGTTGAGGCACGTTTTAGAATCGTTAATCGTTACTCAACTGTATCTACCGTAAATACTGTAATAGTACCCCGCCCCCTAATGACGGTGCGGAGTGTTGCATAGTCTAGCTTTGAACGAGTTTTTCTCGAGACTGGTTTAAGCTACAGTGCGCGCTTATGTATCAAAAAATAGCCCTGAATTTCAGCTATTTTTTGATACCTAACGCGCATTGTAGCTTAAACCAGTGTCGAGAAAAACGTGTTCAAAGCTAGACTAGCAACACTCCGCACCGTCATTATCTTTGGTATCAAAAAATAGCCCTGAATTTCAGCTATTTTTTGATACCAAAGACGCATTTTTTGATAGTACGGGTGCCTTGAAAAATGATGAAATACGAAAAAACTTTTGCGACTACGCGACTGTACGAGGAAAGGGGGGTACTATTACAGTGTTTACGGTAAGTCTAAGTGTAAAGAAGGCTAGGGAACTATCTCGATTATATTTATTACTTTAGTTATTTAATACATCAGATGGAGGCATGGATCTGCTCTAAAGATATTGTAGGCCATAGCAGGCTCCGCCCCTTTTACAATCCGTTTGCCATTGGCAATCTACGTATTTTACCCGTATCTTAGCTGAATTTCTTTGAAAAACGTTGATTTTCCTTTCATTTGGCTCGAAATCGAATTTTCTAACGAATCCAAGCAAATTCAACGTTTTTTCAAAGAAATTCAGCTAAGATATGAGCAAAATTTGTAGATTTCCACGAAAAAAGGATGAAAAATGGGCAGAGTTAAGGCCAAATGGAGGAAATACTTACCTAAAAGCCGAAACATCATCATATCATTGGTTAAGTCGATCAAACTTTCAGTGCACGACGTCGGGCGGTCGATGGGCGTGCGCGGGACAAAGCTGTCACTGTATTCGTCAACCAATTTACAGAGTAAATCTTCAAATTAAAGACGAAAATGAAAAATTGCATTTTTGATTGCATTTCTGATTGCATTTCTGTTTTCATTTTTCAGTGGCCAACCATTCCGGATGATCGCGAGTCGTTCATCGCGTGGCTCTCCGAGTTCTCCGAGAGGAAATGATTCAAAGTTTTGATTCTCGAACACAATAAAGCTTTCAGTGTACATGAAACAATAGCTTACAATAGTATTATGAATTTTATTAGATTATTAAATTTTATAGACTTTTAGAGTTTAACTGATTGCGCTGCCCAAAACGTAGCCATCGTCAAGTCCCTGAGAACCCGTCTGGGCACAGGAAACCTGAAAAAGAAATAGATATTTTTGATTCAGGCACATTATCGTTGAGAGTTTTGTATATGGTAGCTGGGTTTGAATAAGCAAGAAAAGCAATTCTCACCGATGTGATTGGCACATTGATTCCACCGGAGAGCACAGTGAACACCCCGTTCCAGCAAGTCACCTGAATGAATTCGCTTTAGAAATAGGAACGTTAGTTAGTTTAAATACATTAGTTCTTTTTGTCTAAACAGTTGGATACGCCGATCCTTTTATTTTTAAGGCTGGAAATTCAAAACATCGGCACCGGGGCTCGAACCGCCGACCTCTGGCTTACCGACCCCCAACGCTCTACCAATGCGCCACAACGACACATGTTCAGATGCCGCTAGAATAGGCCTTACTAAACGTTCAGACGTACTGTGATGACCAGGAAATTTTGAAGATCAAGCTTCGAAGTAACAAAGCTGCTGTCAGAATAGAGTGTCAAAGTGATTAACAACTCTTGTAAGCGTAGCTAGCTGTATGATAAGTAGCTGTATGAGATAACAAATTTTCAAGCCTACCTTGACAGCCAGAGAATCCCCGGCAGTCGTCACCGTTCGCACCACATTGCCAGCAGCGTTGAAGAATTGAATTTGCATGCCGGCTGGCTGAAACGGAGAGATTGCATTGATCACTGTCTTTAATAAGCGAATATAAACGCCATGGCTCAAACGCCGCCACGGTCGACTGGCTAAGAGCGCTGTATGATAGTCGGGAGGTCTAGGGTATGATAGTCGGGAGGTCTAGGGACCTGGCACATCGTCGTGTTAGAATTGGCACATGGCACATGGCACATCGTCGTGTTAGAATTGGTTTTTTTGCCTCAGGGGTTATACACTGGCACAAAGGTGGTTTTTTTTTTTGAGAATTTCATTTCATGTATTGAGTGGTGACCAAAATCCATAACCAAAACCAAAATACGTCGATTCGAACTTTTTATTTTCACTATTTTTACCATAAAACTTTCATTTTTCTTTTCTTTACTTTGTTTTAGTTTATTTAATACTTTTATTATATTTCCAGCCGTCATTCTTTCAGCTCATTTCAGAACTTTCGAAAATAGCAAAAAATTGATTGAGATTCATCTCTGACCCCGTCGGATCTGCCAAGTTGAGCAACGTCGGCGCGGGTTAGTCGTGGGTTCGACTCCCATGGGTTTCCCTCCGAGCGCCCCCAGCCCGGCCATCCGAGTATCATCGGCTACGACAACTAAACTTCTGCCTCAGTAAATGTGGAAGCAGGTTGTGATCTGCGCTAAGTGCGAAGACAGATCAAATCATTATTTATTTATTTTATTATTCACCCTCTGAAAAATCGACGAAAACTCAACTTTCGCGTATATGACGGGGATTCGAGGCTAATGTGTATCTAGTGAAAATAAGGCACCAGCAAAAAAGATGGCTGACCGCTTTCTTTGGCTTTCTTTCTGACGCTAGGAAAAAAAAAGCAACAAATGGGTTTTCGTCCTCAAAAACTCAACTATTTTCGAAAGTTCTGAAATGGGCTGAAAGAATGCCGGCTGGAAATATAATAAAAGTATTAAATAAACTAAAACAAAGTAAAGAAAAGAAAAATGAAAGTTTTATGGTAAAAATAGTGAAAATAAAAAGTTCGAATCGACGTATTTTGGTTTTGGTCATGGATTTTGGTCACCACATGTCAAGAAATTTTCAAAAAATCCACCTTTGTGTGAATGTGTAACCCCTGAGGCAAAATCAATATAGATATAGAAAACAATATAGAAAACTATATAGAAAACTTTTCTAGTGGCACTAGTGGTACGGGTCTTGCCGGGATCGGTATCGGCGGTGGGGTGAACGCTGCTGGAGTCGGAGTGTACACCGGATTGGGTAAAGATTTTGAAAATGAACAAATAATCCTAACGATGTGCCATCAAAAATCAGCGCAAAGAAATTCTTCGGGTACGCAAAGTGAGCCACTTTTTTGTGGACCACCCTGTATAGCTCTGTACTTTGTGCACTAGTAAACGCATGCTTCCCCTCTAAATTTAGTGCTCAAAGCTTGTGCTTTTGCACTCTTTGTAACGCATTATTCGCGAGAATAAATGTACTTTTCTCTTAAATATCAAAATAAATATGAATGACGAACGTTCGTGTCCGGAGCCGCCTCGCAGAAAACGATTCCGTCGATGGGACACGTTGAGGACATTCGCCTAAAGCCCGTTAAAAATTTTCAGCTAATTTCGTCAGATTTAATTTCCAATCTTTCTAATTCCAGAATAATCTAGAAAGAGTTTCTAGAGTTTTTTTCACCTCAAAATCGAGCACTGTTCATAAGTGTCAAGATTTGTGGGAGCACGTCTTGGCAGAGAAGTCGTTGAAAGCATTGGGCAACAAGCTGCAAAGGAAAGCTTGATTTATATTGCTTAAACGTTGACTCAACCGATTTCTAAAGCTGGCTAATGAGTTTTTGATTCAGTGAATTGCTGAGTTTTGATTTTGAGGAGATTTTCAAATGCTTTCGAAAATCTTGATTTTCACAAAATTGTCACAAAATTTTGTGCCCAGTTTCCAAAAACGTGGAGATGAGTTTTTTTTTTTTCGCTTACGTGGTTTCGTTGTCGGTGATCTCGTAGGAATACAGGAGAAAGCGGGTGAAATCAGTGACAGAAACAAGGACAAAGCGACCATGTTAAATCGAGAAATCAAAGTAATAGAAAAAAGTTGAGTTTATTCAAAAATTCAAAAATGATTTACAAGTTTTTTTTGCTTCGAATTAAAAGCTAATATTATCGTGCAATCGGTCGCCTCTTCGATGAGAGATATCACATTCGTTTTGCGAGCAAAAAACCGTCAAGAATTTGGATTCGATATTCCGGAAGGATGACCCAAAGAAAGGGAAAAGAAAAGTCGTTTTCTTTAAAATGATTGAGTGATTTGAGAGAGGACCGGCTGTGTGATTGTCTCGTTTTTTTCTTTCAAAGATATCAAGCCGATATCAAGCTTTTAATGTGAGGATTTGTCACACCTAATTGTTATTTTAGGCTTATTTTGACGCTCTCTAGACGCTAAACAATGATCTAAGACTTAAAACTGTTCAAAGTGCAAATAGTGCAAATAGTTAGTGCTAAATCTTCATTTAAATCTTATAAAGAGCAAAGTAATCAATTTTCTGAGAACGGGGAAGAGAATTTGTGGTATAAGGTGTTCAAAATTGTCAACAAAAAGGCTAGTACTCGAAACGGAACGTACTCGTGCGTCGTTGAAGCGATCGAGACTACAAACCACTTTAACTTTCTATAGCGCTAATATTTTTGGATGTACTTTAGTCCATTCGAAAGCTCTTGAAGTTCTCTATTTTTTGAGCTATAGATCGTCTGAATGCCGTAGATTTGAAGCAAGTTAAAAACGTTTGTAGTTTACGTTTGTAGTTTGTAGTGCCCATGTCCATTATGCAGTAAAACCACGTGAGGTTAGACAAAAGATTTATTCAACATAATGTGTAAGATTTATGTAGATTTATTCAATATAATGTGGCATAAACAAATACACAATCCAACTGCTCTAAAGATACCCCTAACGATCTTGAAAAAAGTCTGAAAGAAAGGAAAAGAGCCAAATTTTCTAGCGGATGGGATCGAACCTGTGACCTCTTGGCAGGGATAGAGGACTCCTGATGGCCATGATGGACTCCTTGGCCATGATAGACTCCTTGGCCATGATGACAGTGAAAGCGGAAGCAGAAACAAGGCTCTTGTCTTGACTGACTCAGAAAAACTCGTTCTCGTTCTTTATCTGTTTTCAGAAAAAGTACATTTGAGGCTAGTTTCATATAAAAATGATTTTCTCAAATCAAATTCGAATCAAGATTCAATTCTCGAATTGACAATCGAATCAAGATTTCAATTGTCGGATATTTTTCAACAAAATATCTTTAAAGCTCGCATCAATTCTCTCAAAATCAAAAAAAGCAGAACTTTTATTCGAAGAGATCAATCATTTAGCAACTCCAGCGGACTGAAATGGGAACGGGTTTTGAAAGGGATCATTTTTAAAGATCATCTTTCAATTCAAGATTAAGAAAAAGAAAATCCCAATGTTTGACAATGTTTTTAGAAATTTTTCTTTGATTGCGATCATTTCTTTCCGATTCCGATGCCCGATCCGATCCCGATTGGTCCAATGCCTAAATTTGAGAAGAATTAAGGCCTCTGCTATAGAATAAATAGCAGTTTTGTATGTGTGCTTTATAAAACTCTTATATTAAAGCTGAAAATAGTACCTGGGATTCCGATATTTAGCCCAGAGCTGACACCAACGAGCGATCCACCACCGGGTGAGCCGAGTCCCGGCGCGTTAATGCCTTGAGTTTAACGGCATTATCGTACTTTGACGTAAACTTTGACTTTGAAATTGTTAATTATAAGGTTTACATTGATATTTAGAAGGTTTATATTTAGGAATTTAGAAATTTAGGGTTATTTGTTTATTTTCAAAATCTTTACCTAATCCGGTGTTCACTCCGACTCCAGCAGCGTTCACCCCACCGCCGATACCGATCCCGCCAAGACCCGTACCACTAGTGCCACTAGAAAAGTTTTCTATATATTTTTATTGAATTAATAGATTTATTTTAAATTATTATTTGAATATCTATGGTAAACGAACCTTGGAAATGGAACTCCCGCTGAACTTCGAGATGGGGAAAGAGATGGAATCCCTTCCGACATTCTAGCCTCGGGTCTGAAAGAAATTAAGCTTATCTATTGTAGTATTTTAAAGATTAACATTGTATTATTAATGTAGTGTATTAATGTAAGATTAATGTAGTATTAATGTAGGATTAATTTAGGATTAATTTAGGATTAATTTAGGATTAATGTAGTATTATATTATTCTAGAATTTAGAGTATTATTTGCTTTCATTATAGCGAAAAAGCTTACCTAAGCCTCACTTCAGATGAGCTAAACTCGGGAAGTTCTTCGTCGAAATCCGTCTTTGCTGATGATTTTGAGCTAAAATAGATTGAATTTTTTTGATTAGGCTTTTAAATGAAATAAAATAGAATCTGATTGAGCAATTAAATTGATTAAATAATTCTAAGAAAATCAAGAAATAAAAGGCTCAAATAGGAGTGCGATGTGACTCTATCTCTTGATGCTGATGTGATTTATCTCTTGATGCACTTACTCGGGAACGACCAGCTTTCGCAAACGCGAAGCAAAGCTATATGACTTACGCAAGTCGGGGACGGGCAGCACGATGGCGTTTCTAGTTTTTGCCCAAATACGCTAGATTTCTGTAAAAACGCATTTGAAATTTGACCCCCTAGTGCATTGATTTATGAGTTTGTAAGGGCTACGGTCGTTCACCAAACAAGTGACTCAGTGGTGCAGTGATAGTGCTGCCGCCTCCCGCTTTGCCGGTGGCTCCGGGTCGTGCCAGGTAAAGCAAAGAAACACCATCGTGTTGCCCGTGTCCGTCTTGTGTAAGTCTATGCCTTGCTTCGAATTCGCGTTTGAGAAATCTGGTCGTTCCCTAGTTAGTCCAATGAAATTCGAACTCTTAGCCCCTTCATAAACTCTTAAAAGAACTCTTAGCCCCTTCATAAGCTTAAATCAATTTGTTTCTCATTTACTAGTTTCTAATCTCATAAACATTTACTTCATTGATGCAAAAGCATCATCCGACCAGACGTCTTTCTCTTTTGTTGAGGCGGGGCTGAAGTTATTGATTAACAAGTTAACAGTTATTGATTTACAAGCTCTGTACTTTGTGCACTAGTGAACGCATGCTTTCTAGCGTACTCAAGCGGTGGGAATGTGCCAAAGGACTCGCATTTGTTCGCACAAAGTACAGCTCGTACAGTCACTTACAGTGTGATCCGATCATCGCTATCTTCCAATGAGTCAAAATCAAAGTGGAATTTTTTCCGATGACTCATATAGTGACCCTAGAGATTGTTCAATATTTTTTGCTACAATAATTATTTAAATTTATATAGTAATTTCTACCCACTATAGCTTCTTTATGTGGTCCTTGATAGGAGCCTCCTTGTGGATCCGAGTCACCCCAACTGTTCGTCCATTTTCCATTGTAACCAGCAAAATAGTTGGCTAAATGCTTTGCCATAAGAAATCTATAGAATCTATATGAAAATCTATAGAATATATATGTAAATTTGATTCATATTTACCGTATTTTCTCTAATAGTCACCCAGAGTCACCCAGTCACCCAGAGATTCGCCTAAATTACTCGAAATCTCGAGAACCTCTTATCAGAATCTATCGATGTGGGGTCGGAAAATGTAGCTGACGATAAGATCTAGCTGGTGATTAGAGTGTTGAGCTTCTGCGAAAGCTTTGAAACCGTCAAATAGTCACCAACTCGGCTCGCCGGGGTGCACTACTATTAGAGAGAATACGGTATACAAAATACTATTAAATAGCTATAATAATTTTGTTTATACGATCATTTCCCAGTCGAATGCATCACTTTTAATTTATTTCGATAATAATAATACTTTATTAATACCGTATTCTCTCTAATAGTAGTGCACCCAGAGCTTCGTCTAAATTCCTCGAAATCTCGAGAACCGCTTATCAGAATCTATCGATGTGAGGTCGGAAAATGTAGCTGACAATGAGATCTAGCTGGTGATTAGAGTGTTGTGCTTCTGCAAAAGCTTTGGAAGCCGTCAAATAGTCACCAACTCGGCTCAGCCGGGTGCACTACTATTAGAGAAAATATGGTATAATATTTACAAAGTACAGCCAGTTCAATGCCTTTCAAGTACAAGTGGTACAGTTCAATGCCTTTGATTTCTTAAGCTTGAGCTAAATCAAAGAAATTCTGTACGCTTTTGTACTGTTTACGTAGTACTATCGTCTTTTTACTACTTTAGTATGTTTTGATGAAACCTGAAGGCCCATAGGCTCCACCCTGGCCATTGTAGCTACCATAACCGCCACCGTAACCACTCTGACCATTTCCATACGATGAACTCATCCCATAACCCCTAAAATAAAATATATTTATATTATATGTATATGTATAGATATGTTTTAAGAGAGTTTGTAGATTTTTATTTGTTAGCCAAAAACGAGATTCATTCACCCGGTATTACAGGATTGTCCTTGACCATAGTAGCCTTGATACATTTGAATATATGATCTAAATGTTAAATATTATTTTAGATTAGATTTAGATTGAAATTTAGATATGAAACTTATGCAAATGATCGGTAGCGAGCAAAATTTGAGCATAAACAAGTGCAAAAAGATTGTTAAAAAGAGAGCTTCTCAGGTAAAGTATTAGCTACAGTACTGGACAATGAAATATCATATTTGAAAAAAAGATCGTCACTTTCGCGCGTCTGTAACTCCCTTGTCTTTGAGTTTAAACTATTAGTGTTATACATTTTCTGTAAAGCTTTTTTCAAGGGTTACACAATGGTAATATTAATATTTAGAAATACGGTAAAGACAAGGGAGTTACAGACGCGCGAAAGTGACGATCTTTTTTCAAATATCATATTTCGTTGTCCAGTAGTGTATCTGTCTTTTAGAAAAACTTTCTCTTTGAAAAAGCTACCTAGTTTGTTCTTTGAGCAATTTAGGCTTAAAATTTATCAACCATTCGCTTACAATAGCCTGGTAAAGTGGCTTACAGCAAGCTGATAAAGGGTGGATCATTTAAGAGCTAGTAATGCGTTTTCTAAAAGATCGATAACCTGAAAAGCTACCGTAATCTTTTACAACTAAATACATTAACGAAGAGCTAAAGATTACGGTAACTACAGTACTGGACAATGACAAATATGATATTTGAAAAAAGATCGTCACTTTCGCGCGTCTGTAACTTCCTTGTCTTTGAGTTTAAACTATTAATGTTATACATTTTCTGTAAAGCTTTTTTCAAGGGCTACACAATGGTAATATTAATATTTAGAAATACGGTAAAGACAAGGGAGTTACAGACGCGCGAAAGTGACGATCTTTTTTCAAATATCATATTTCATTGTCCAGTAGTGTAAATGCATAAGAAATGCGGATTTCAACATTTTCATTAATTTCCAACGATAATTTCCAACGATAATTTCCAACGATAGAAACCAGATATCGATGAATGTTATAAACTATTTGAAAGTTGTAAATCTCCTCTACAAAATAGGCTAAAAGGTGTTCCAATTGATCGAGCCATTGAAGAGATTTCGATGGCGAAATGCGAAAAAAATAATATGCTAGAATTATTATCGGCTACTGTATATTATAATTATTATATATCTGAATGTTTGATAATTTTTTAAATCTTTAACCTGCAATAAGATGGACATGAGCATGGTTGGCTTAAATATTGAGAACAACTCCCATAGCCGCTCGAGTAGAATTGCTAAAAGTGGTAAAAGTGAGAAAGTTTATTTATTTATTTATTTGTTTATTTATTTGTTTGTTTGTTTGTTTATTTATTTGTTTATTTATTTGTTTATTTATTTATTTGTTTGTTTATTTATTTGTTTATTTGTTTATTTGTTTGTTTATTTGTTTGTTTATTTATTTGTTTATTTATTTGTTTATTTATTTGTTTAGTTATTTGTTTATTTATTTATTTATTTATTTGTTTATTTGTTTGTTTGTTTATTTGTTTGTTTGTTTATTTGTTTATTTGTTTATTTGTTTATTTATTTGTTTGTTTGTTTATTTGTTTGTTTGTTTATTTGTTTGTTTATTTATTTATTTGTTTATTTGTTTGTTTGTTTATTTGTTTATTTATTTGTTTGTTTGTTTATTTGTTTGTTTATTTATTTATTTGTTTATTTGTTTATTTATTTATTTGTCTAAAAGCTTATGATTCTATAGAAATTTAAAATTTGATTTAAAATTCTATAGAAATTTCGATCTAACCGCTGTAATAAAGACGAAAAATTGCGCCAGAAAGAATATTCGAAACATCGATTTTTGCAAAAGTAATTTTCGCTTTAATGTTTTATTTTTTGAAAATCTACTTTTTCATTTGATAAAATTATCATTTGAGAGAGAAAATCCTGAGATTTCTTGCCGATTTTTTAAATATTTTCTTTAGTAAATAAGAATTGATCAGTTTTCTCTTCAAAAAAAGCTAAAAATGGCTTTTCTCAGATCAAAAGAGAAGATAAATCTTTATCATTTTCATTTCATTTTTCATTTTTGATGTTTATCATTTAAAATTTTCATGAAAAACTAAATCTATTGAATGAAATTTCAGTAATTATATTGTAAAATAAAAAAATTGAACAAAAAATAGAATATTGATTAGCTTTTGATAATCAAATGCAAGAATAGACGGCAATTTCAACCGATTGAAACTGTTGGTTAATATTTTGCGTGCTGTAGCTCATAGTTTTGCTTGTTTAACTGACTTTTGCTGAAATTCTGACTTACAAAAGTCCCTGGAATGGTAAAAACTGATGTAGAATACCTATTCATTGACTCACTTGGGTTTTCTTGTCTTATTTTTGTCTTAGCTTGGCCCTGATCTTCACTGGTTAACAACTAGCTGGCTATCCTTGTTGTTGACTTCAATTTCTTTCTTTCTTTCTTTCTTCTCCCTTGTGTTTCCCTTTTTCTCTTTGCAAGTCAAGGCACTGCATAGCTCAGTGGTCAGCGGTTAAGGCAATGGCCCGAGGGTCGAGGATCGGTCAGAAGCTCGAGGATCGGTCAGAAGCTCGACGATCGGTCAGAAGCTCGACGATCGGTCAGAAGCTCGACGATCGGTCAGAAGCTCGACGATCGGTCAGAAGCTCGACGATCGGTCAGAAGCTCGACGATCGGTCAGAAGCTCGACGATCGGTCAGAAGCTCGAGGATCGGTCAGAAGCTCGAGGATCGGTCAGAAGCTCGACGATCGGTCAGAAGCTCGACGATCGGTCAGAAGCTCGAGGATCGGTCAGAAGCTCGAGGGTTCAATCCCCTCTCCGAGTATCTACTTTTTCTTTCCAATTCCTTCACTTCTTTCTTGACTTTCTAGACACAAAAAAGCCTCAATTGAGTCAAGGTATTCTACATCAGTTATCATAATCACTATCTAGTTGTAAATTTGTCTGTGTTTTTATTAATCCACCTCTTCTACAGCAGTTTTCTTCTACAGCTCAATGAAATTAAAACAGATCAAAAGATTTGAAATGAAATCTGAAAATTTATTAGTAAATCTTTGTCGAAAAGCTGTAAGTTTTATATAAATTTTGTAATATTTATCAAAATCTTGTAGCTTTTTCTACATCTACGTTATCCGTTACAAGGAGAGGAAAGTTTGGCCGACGTTCCGAGGTTAGGACGCCCACGAGAAGTTGATCGTCACGCATTTTTGGAAACAATTGAAGACAACCCGTCATTGACAACAAGAGCAGCAGAGGAATTTCCTCCTTGGAGAGACTCATCGCCTGAAAAAAGTATAGGGAAGTTATAGACCAAAAACTTGTAGCTTTTTCTACATCTGTTCTTTAAAACTGATCACAATTTATTGATTAAACAATAAATCAAAAAAAAAAAAAATGAAAAATAAGCTCATTATGGCAATCCAATGGGATGAGCAGAGAAATTTACAGCAAAAAAAAAAAGCAATTTAGATTTAGTAAAATTCAAATAGGTACCCGTATTTACAATTGACTCAAAGAGATTGAAAAGATAAGCAAAAAAAAAAGGAAGAGAAAAAAACCGAATAAAGCTATAAAAACATAGAGACAATTAGATAATTATTAGAAATTATTAAAAATTATTAGAAAATTTGAAAATTCAGTCTAAAAATGATATGTGAAAATTGTTTTAATGAAAAAAAGTGATTGACTAGAATTTTATTGAAATTGGGCAATCAATTTGTAAGGCTAATTTTAATTCAAAATTTTAGTACAATCTACCGTAAATACTGTAATAGTAGCCCACGCCCATAATGACGGTGCAGAGTGTTGCGTAGTCTAGCTTTGAACGCGTTTTTCTCGACACTGGTTTATGCTACAATGCGCGCTTATGTATCAAAAAATAGCCCTGAATTTCAGCTATTTTTTGATACCTAAGTGCGCATTGTAGCATAAACCAGTGTCGAGAAAAACGCGTTCAAAGCTAGACTACGCAACACTCCGCACCGTCATTATCTTTGGTATCAAAAAAAGCGTCTTTGGTATCAAAAAATAGCCCTGAATTTCAGCTATTTTTTGATACCAAAGACGCATTTTTTGAAAGTACGGGTGCTTTGAAAAAAATGAAATACTAAAAAACTTTTGCGACTACGCGACTCTAGGAGGGGGGGGTGGGGTACTATTACAGTATTTACGGTAGTACTTTGTCCTCTAGTAAACGCACATTTTCTGGTGCACTGGATTCCAGAAAAACCCCAGATCTTTTAGAAGAATCTAGTGCACTAGAAAGTGAGCGTTTAAGCAGTGAGACGGATTTTTCACGGATGTACTTTGTGCTCTAGTAAACGCCAGTCTCTGGCACACTTGATTCCTATTTTTGGTGAAATTCGGATAAGGAATCGAGTGTGCCAGAGAGTGTGTGTTTAGCACAATGTTTTACGGGATTATTTCTAAGCACTATTATTTCTAAGCTTGACAATTCTCACAAGTTCCCAAAACCCCCTGTTCATCTGGATTCGATAAATCGCTTTCGTCAGTGAAATGGCTTGTCGTTGAAAGCATTTCTTTTCTTAAACGGTACAAATCAAAGATCGAATTCCTTTCCGGAGCGAGGAGTGCAGTGGCGAGCAGGGAAAGACAGAACATCTCGCAGAGGATCACGAAATTGCACACAACTAAAGTTCTTTGCATATAAGCTAAGCAACACAATACTAAGCTAGATCTGAACTTAACGCTTTCTCTGCGACTCTCGACTCTTAATCGACAGCTACAACCTGTTTTGGCGCTGAAGAAGACGCTTTACAGAACTAGCGCCTTTACTCGTCTACTCATCTAACGTTTTAAGCCAAACAGCGTCCAAAACCGGACCTGCAGCACTCGGAAGAGCTCATCTCATGGATTCGAACCAGAGACTAACCGAGCCCAACGTTGTTTAACTTGGCAGTTTTGACGGAATACCGTGTTTCAACCTGGCGAGGCTGTAGAGACGGTTGTTTGTAATGGTTGGCCTTTAAAGAGGACACCGCGAGCTTTCAAATTCTGATCTGATTCGAGACCTTTGTCTCTATGATCTTTCTATGATTCTGTGCTCCAATCAAACTCTATTTTATATCATTTAAAACCTTAAAGTGTTTTCATTAAAACTATATAAAAAGTTAACAATAATATTAACTCTAAATAAAGTTATAGAGCTTTAAAGGCTAGGCTATTCACTCACATCGAGCATTGTCGACAGCTGGAAGAATTGGTCCACATTTGATGAGATCAAAACTGAAATTGTTGAATAAACTATGGTAGTAGAAGAATTTATAGATTTATAGATTTATAGATTCCGAGATTCTTAGATTCCGAGGCTCTTAGGTTCATAGATTCATAGATTCTTAGATTCGTAAATACATAGATCCATAGATTCTTAGATTCATAGATTCTTAGATTCATAGATTCTTAGATTCATAGATTCTTAGATTCTTAGATTCATAGATTCTTAGATTCATAGATTCATAGATTCTTAGATTCATAGATTCTTAGATTCTTAGATTCATAGATTCTTAGATTCATAGATTCATAGATTCTTAGATTCTTAGATTCTTAGATTCATAGATGCATAGATTCCTAGATTCATAGATTCCTAGATTCTTAGATTCATAGATTCTTAGATCCATAGATCCATAGATTCTTAGATCCATAGATTCTTAGATTCATAGATTCTTAGATCCATAGATTCTTAGATTCTTAGATCCATAGATTCTTAGATCCATAGATTCTTAGATCCTTAGATTCCTAGATCCATAGATTCATAGATTCTTAGATTCATAGATCCATAGATTCATAGATCCATAGATTCTTAGATCCTTAGATTCCTAGATCCTTAGATTCCTAGATCCATAGATTCATAGATTCAATAGCAATTCATAGAATTCATTCAAAATTCATTCAAAATTCTTATCCCAACTCACCGCAACAAAATATTCTCAAAAATCATCGGCTGTTGCGCGGAAAAGAAAAGCAACGAGACGTCGACGAAACGGAAAATCGTCATGAAGCAGTAGTCGCGCAGTTTGTACTAAAAATTCAGAAATTCTATTATTTATAAGTCAACTATTGCAATATTACAAAAATATCTGAAAAAACTCGTTTTTTTCAACAATTCTTACAAGCAGCTACTTGCTTTCTAGCCAAATATGGCCTTATAACTTACAGCAGTTGCCCGAGCCATCGTGTGAACGCCGAAGATGGCGAGAAGCAGCGAGAACACGGTTCCCATGTCTGAGTAGTGAAGCCAGCTGAATTTTTGATTTAAAAACTACAATATTAGGCTTGTTTATTGGTGAAATTTATGCTCGAAAATTGAAAAGCATCTTTTCTGGCGCAAGAAATGGTTTCACTGGTAGTTTTGTTGCAATCGTTACGACAGAAACGGATTCTGTCGTCAGGAACGGATTTTGTTGTAAGATTTATAATTAATAATCTTCTATTTAAGTACAATATATTAAATTTTGTGTTTAACTGTAAGACCAACATTTTAGCAGCATCACGAAACTCAGCAATCGCGATCACATTCGAGACGATGGCCACCGCGCGGACGATCGGCGCTTGCAACACGAGCCATTCCAATTTGCGAAGGTTTCTTCTGAAAAGATTTATTATCCTTACCGTAAATACTGTAATAGTACCCCAGCCCCATAATGACGGTGCGAAGTGGCGCGTAGTCTAGCTTTGAACGAGTTTTTCTCGACACTGGTTTATGCTACAATGCGCGCTTAGGTATCAAAAAATAGCTGAAATTCAAGGCTATTTTTTGATACCAAAGACGCATTTTTTGAAAGTACGGGCGCTTTGAAAAAAATGAAATACTAAAAACCTGTGCGACTACGCGACTGTACGAGGGGATGTGGTACTTATTACAGTATTTACGGTATATTAAAAGCATGACAAAAGGTGGACTCTATAAAAAAGTTGTAAGTGTTTTAGAGGTTAACTTTCTATGGAAAAGTCACTTAAACCGATAGAGAGGCTAAATATCTTTTTCTTTGATTCAAAGAGTTTGAATGGTATTCAATTGGCTTTCTAGAAAGATCTAATAATTATTTTCTATGAAAGTTTAAGAATCCCCTTATTTGATCGAGATCTAAATCGGGAGTTTCCCTATTTTTTTTGTTTGGTTGTTTGTAATTGAGTTTCCCTTTCGCCCACGCATCAATATATTTACCCATCGTCTTTCATTCACATTTTAAACGTAAAAAAGTCTTTTCTTTTCTCTTTAATCTTTCAACGTTCACTCAATGATACTTTTAAGTGGATTTAACCGTTCGTTGATGAGATTCGATGGGGTAGTGAAGAATTTGATTCAAAAATTGCTAAGCTTATATTTACCCATCATCTTTTACACTATTACAGTATTTACGGTAAGTATTGTAAGTCTTTTTTTGACAATATTATTACACAAAAATATCGAAACTCACTCGGTGCTTGGGGCTTTTGGCAAGAAGAAACAAAAGCAGCAAAATGGCGGTGATTTGAAGTCGATCGGGCGATTGTCAAAGCTAAAATCGAATTGCTGTAGCTTTTAAAGTCACTTTTAACTTTTACAGTTTACAATTGATCTCATTGTTTCAAAAAATGTGCTAGTAAGTTAAGGATTTAAGTTGAATGATTCCATTCCATCTACAATGATTCCACGAATTCTTAGCTTTACCTTAACGTTGTCGAAATCTCGACACGTCCCCCGAAAAGATTTCGACAAAGAGAGACAACAACGAAAAGACAAATCAAGTAGTACAACATGCCAAGCGACGTTAAAACGAGTGACGTTCTCGGGGCAATCATTCCGATTAAGCAACAAGCTGTTGAGATCTAAAAAAAGCTTTGCAATTGGTTTTGCAGCTTTGCAGGTTTTGCAGGTTTTGCAGCAAACCAAAGCCCTTCTATGGCCGACTGGCTAAGAGCCTTGCAAAGCTAAAAAAATGCAAAAAACTGCAGCCAGTGGGATTGAACCCTTGATCTCCCAACTAAGATACCGGGCTCTTAGCCAGTCGGCCATAGAAGGGGTTTGTTGGCTGGAAACAGGTCCAAACCTTGGCTCAGTTGTTAAACTCACCGGGAACAATGCGAGCAACCAATACAGCTTATTCTGACGCTTTTCATTTGACACATATCTCCAAATATAGGACCAATGAACGAATGCTAAAAGATAGACAACGATTGTGAACGCCGATCCGATCGATAGCATCACAACTTGGTGCGTTTGAAGATCTGAAAAGTTCGAAAAATGAAACGCTTGCTTTGGTCGTATTAAACGCGAATTTTTGTCCAACTTTAGATCAACTTTAGATCAACTTCGAATTCAATTTTATTTATCTGTAACTGAATTTTGGCTTACTTCAAAGGCTTACTTGAAAGAAACTCGAAAGCTGATGGCGTTTGCTGAGTGTCCGAGCAATTCCAATAGTCAGCAGCTAGCGAATCGGCTACATGGAGGTATTCGTGGATCTCGTTTGATGTACCCTCCATTTTCTGGAATTGAAATTATTTGGAATTGGAATTGAAATCATTTTTGAAATATCTCAAACAAAGCAAACTTAGAAAACAGAAAAAAGAATCGAATTCAACTTGGAAACATTTTTACGATATGTCAATCTTTCGGAAACACTAAAACTCAAAAAAACTAAAAAAAAAGTTGATTTTTGGTGAAAAGAGATTTCTTATCACCCCTCAAAAGTCGATAAAACCACGAGAATTACTAAAATAATCTAAAAAAAGATCTAAACAAAGATCTAAACAAAGATCTAAACAAAGATCTAAACAAAGATCTAAACAAAGATCTAAACAAAGATCTAAACAAAGATATCTAAAAGTAAAAATATTTTTTAAAAAAACAAGAAAATGGGTACATTTTGTAGTAACTTTCACAATTTTATGATCTTAAAGTTTTCCAATTTCGACAAAAAACTTGTGAAGTGAAAAAGAGAGAGAGAAAAACCGGGGTGAGACTGAATAAATAGATTTTGAAAAGCAAAAATGGGGTAGGTCATATGTGAAATAAAGAGATCAACACGGTGAAATGGCTGATGAATCACTTCATTCATTCTGGAATGTGCAAAAAAAGGAATTTTAAACTGAAAGAGCTGAATATTCATCAAAAAAAAAGGGCGTCTTTATGATTTCTGAGCTGATTCAGACAGAGTTTTGATCGAGATTAGACTTGGAAAGCGGTATATTTTCGAGTCTTTTGAAGTCTTTGGATTGTTTGAATGAAAGGAAAGAGAAATTTCGGTACAAGTGATTTCTGACAGATAAGAAAAATGAATCAACGAGATTTACATCCAATAGAAATCCAATAGAACTTACGGATCTGAGCTGGCTGTGTTGTTTTTAAATTACTGGAGAGTAAAGGATATTTGCTGGAGAGTAAGGGACTCTATTCTAACAGCAATGGGATATGTGCCCGTAGCTCATTGGTAGAGCCTTCCCTCAGTAAGCGATGGGTCGCAGATTCGAATCCGCGCCGACCATGCTTTGTAAAAGTTTCATAAAACTGCGTATCCAACTGGGAGTATAAGAGTTGAAAGTTTGATCTTTTTGAGCTTTGTAGCTGACGAGCTTTTACGTAGAAATGAATAAACAAAACATTAGCTGATTGGGAAAGGAATTTTTGAATTAACACAGTTGAGAAGCTGAGAAGTCAGGATGAAAAAATGGAAATTAAACGAGCCTTAAAATTTTGAGTTTATTTCAATTGAAGCAATTTTAATTTGAGAAAGTTTAGAGTTAAAAAAAGGCAGGAATAGAGAAAAATTCGAGAGGTTTCACGGCGGTAAATATTCTGTGCGTCTGAAAATGTCAAGGAGAAGAAGGAGGAAAAGAAGGAGGAGGAGAAGAAGGAGAAGAAGGAGAAGAAGAAGAAGGAGAAGAAGAAGAAGAAGAAGAAGGAGAAGAAGAAGAAGAAGAAGAAGGAGGAGAAGGAGAAGAAGGAGGAGAAAAAGAAAAGAGAAGAAAGAAAGAAAGAAAGAAAGTAAGAAAGTAAATGGTTGAGTGATGAAAAGAAAAGAATATAGAGGAAAGGTTGGTAAATAGGAGAAAATTGGAGGTGATGGAGAGGGGGAAACCAGCGGGACCACTGGGAAATCGTGTCGGGGCATTGCCCCATCGCTCGAAGTGCTTTTGTTTTATTTGCCTTTCTTTTTTTGAACTTTGTAGTGTGTGCGTCTTAATCACAACCTATATAAAGTGAAAATCCAGTACTAGTACAGCTTGAAACTAACAAAATATGGCACAATATTTATACAGCTTAGGCTTGAGCCTCATTCTTCGTCATTCTTCGCCCAAATGGGATCAGTTTTTACCTTGAATTGGCCGTATTTTTGAACAGAGATCAGTAGAATCAAAGAAAAAGTGTTGTAATCGCATTAAAAAGATACTTCTAACAATTCAGAAAATAATGAATGTATTGCTATAAGCCCAAAAATTAACAATAATATTAAAGCTGTAACTCAGCAAAGCTGTAACTCAGCAAAGCTGTAACTCAGCAAAGCTGTAACTCAGCAAAGCTGTAACTCAGCAAAGCTGTAACTCAGCAAAGCTGTAACTCAGCAAAGCTGTAACTCAGCAAAGCTGTAACTCAGCAAAGCTGTAACTCAGCAAAGCTGCAACTCAGCAAAGCTGCAACTCAGCAAAGCTGCAACTCAGCAAAGCTGCAACTCAGCAAAGCTGCAACTCAGCAAAGCTGCAACTCACAAAGCTGCAACTCAGCAAAGCTGCAACTCAGCAAAGCTGCAACTCAGCAAAGCTGCAACTCAGCAAAGCTGCAACTCAGCAAAGCTGCAACTCAGCAAAGCTGCAACTCAGCAAAGCTGCAACTCAGCAAAGCTGCAACTCAGCAAAGCTGCAACTCAGCAAAGCTACAACTTTAAGAGCAAATATCCTCTCTAATAGTAGTGCACCCCAACGAGCCGAGTTGATGACGATTTTACGGCTTCCAATGTCTTCACAGAAGCTCAACACTCAAATCCCCCACTAGATCTGATCGTCAGCTACATTTTCCAACCCCATATCGATAGGTTCTGATAAGCGCTTTTCGAGATTTCGAGGAATTTAGGCGACGCTCTGGGTGGACTACTATTAGAGAGAATACGGTAATCATGTCTAGAAATTTAAAGTCTATGACGAAACTTTGAAAATCCATATGTTGAAAGGATATTGAAAGAGATTTCTAATCTATTTCCTTGATCGAGACACGAAAGTGGAACAGGGATTGTCAAGGCAATTTAGAAAAAAAAAGAATGAAAAAAGAATGAAAAAAATGGCAAAAATGGTAGTCTACAGACTAAAAAAAATAGAAAAATGTTAATACATGAATCAAGAATGGGATTTGTTCACAAAATTAAGTGATTGATTGTTGGGAATCACACAAAACCGAGTAGAAACTACAAATCGGTGAAAAGAAAGAGATAGAGAAAGAGAGAGAGAGAGAAAGAGAGGAAGAGAAAGAGAGAAGAGAAGCGAAAATGCACACAAACAGATCCGATTTCCATATTTTAAATTCAAAAAAAAGAATGACAAGATTTAAGCTATCATTTTTTTTATTTAATTTTTTTGTATATTTATTAAAATTCTAACAAAAAACAGATGATTTCACTTGAAATAAAAAGAAAAAAGTGAAGATTCGTCTACTTTATTTGAGCGCCGAAATTGTCGATGATTCATTGAAGCAAAAGAAAACACTTGTCCCTTTTTTAGACAAATTTGTACGTTTTTTAAATACTAAAATGCAAATTCCGATAGAAAATTTTTTTGAATAATTGGCAAATTTGCAAAGAGTTTACTCATTTTTTCTGCTGAATCTGCAAAAAGCATCATTTACTAAAAAGTAAAGTAGAAATACAATGTTTAACAGAATTTTGAAAAGGATTGAGTGCACTAGAAAGGATATGTTTCTAGATTTGAACCTAAAGTACACCAGGAGCTGTTAGCTGCTAGCTGTTAGTTGTTAGCTGTTAGCTGTCAGTGTCAGCTGTTAATGTTAGCTGTTAATGTTAGCTGCTAATGTTAGCTGCTAATGTTAGCTGTTAGCTGTTAGCGTTAGCTGTTAGTTGTTAAGGTTAGCTGTTAGCTGTTAATGTTAGCTGTTAATGTTAGCTGTTAATGTTAGCTGTTAGCTGTTAGTTGTTAGCTGTTAGCTGTTAGCTGTTAGCTGTTAGTGTTAGCTGTTAGCTGTTAGCCTAAAGCTGTAAACATCTTATTAAACTTAAACATAATCCTTGAACATTGTTAAGATTTTGTTATTAAAGAAAAAAATTGAAGTTATAATAGTTTTTAAAAATTATTTAAAGATTTAGAAGTTTTATTATTTCTGTGAAACGTATGAGAGTTGTGGCAATTTTCTCGCCTCCAGGCAACGGGAAAGCAACGAAAAAAATCCGGGAAATTACTCATAAACAGAGGGTTTCTCTGATGAAATTTATGAATAAAAAGTTCATCGTAATTTCATTTCTTTGTAGATAAATGTTAGCGTTAAATTTCGTTTATAGCAATTAATTTTTTAATTGTTCGTTTGAAAGCTGGAAACTGTTATAAAGATTAATAAAAATTATGATTTCGCCTTTGAAAGTTGTAGGCTCTTTTAAAATCGAAATTTTAAAATCTAAATCTAAATCTAAATCTAAATCTAAATCTTAAAATCAAAGAGATAAATGCAAAAATTTTCGTTTAAATCTAACTTTAATCGATAATTGTATTTTTATTTTGTATTTTTAAGTGAAAAATGTGAAAAACTTGTAAGTTCTTAAAGAAAATGATAGTAAAATGTTCGATTTTTGTTTAAAATTCAAAATTTGATCATAAATCGTATAAAAAGACTTTTTAAAAATGTGTTTGGATACATTTCTTTAAGTTTGGACACAATCGTAGGCGTTTCCGGCTAAAAAAGGAGACGAATAAGGCTGGGAAAAGTTTTTTTTTTTGCTGACTGTGTGACGACTAAAAATAAAAATTTACGAGCTATGCCCGTCAAAGCGATAGAGAAATCGTGTGCATGATTCAGAGGTGTACAAAGGGAGGACGGGGAAGGGACAAGGGAAGGGACAAGGGAAGGGACAAGGGAAGGGACAAGGGAAGGGACAAGGGAAGGGACAAGGGAAGGGATAAGGGAAGGGATAAGGGAAGGGATAAGGGAAGGGATAAGGGAATGGTTTGACTATGAAGAAGAAGATTTGAATCGAGTAAGAGTACAGCCCAAAGTTTGTTTACTTTGTGCCCATTAGAAACACATCTTTCCTTATGCATTTTGTTATTGGATACCAATGGAAACGGGGATAGAACAGGAACTAGAAAAAAAGGGGTAGAAAAGGAATGAAATCTGGTGAGCTCAGATCGATTTGGAGTACAGCTCAAAATCCATCTAAGATAGAATTATTGTAATTCACAACTTTCACAGTGTACTTAAAAATATAATCTGGAAAATAGTCAGCAAATCATAATTAAACGCTGTTAATGTTTATAAAAAAAAAAGGAGG